ACACATGCGTGCACGCACGCGCATCTCAACTCATTGTGACTCCTCTACTCCTCGCAGTTTGCCCCCCGCTCCCAGATTCCTTTGGCTGCGCTCAGCTGTTCTGACTTTTTGGCTGAACCTCCGGTGAACCCGGTCAAAAGGCGGTCAGTCCTCGGCTCGGGCGACCTCCTACGAGCCCCCTGGGTGTCAGGCGCTGCTGGAGATAAATAAACGGAACTGTGAGATGTGCAGATGGCAACGCTGCAATGTGAAGCCAGCTTGCCTACTCTGTTCTCCTTCCTTCACCCCTTGGTGATCTGCTCTGCGTAGCCTGACCCAGACATCAACACGCCACAGCATGGAATTTTGACGCACCTCTGCGTCCCACACGTAGACTGTACTGGATAGACTACCTCTCCCTCTTGTCTCTGGATTGAGTCCCTCTCCTCTGGTTTTTCGCTGCATGAACCTGGTTCAGCTGCGTTGGGAGTAGATGACTAAACCACACATCAAAGCTCGATGACGGTTCCACCTGTAGTGTGCTGTCCTTAAGTTCTCAGATGTACCAACCCACCACCAGCCCAAGTATGCAGTTTGAGCCAAACTCACACCATGTTGTGAAATGCTTTCCTTCTCTCGACTCTGATGACCCACTGCCGATGTGATCCAGCCCCCACGTGCCTTAACCGCTGCTCTGCTCTGCACCTCTTCCCTGACCTTCACTTTACGCTCCTTTATAGACAGGAAGTTTATTCTGAGGTCAGGTCTCCCCCAGGCTGACATAACTGACCAGAAGCCACAGGAAAAGGCTGTTTTCACTTGCCTTGCGATGCCGCAAATGGCACAAAAAGAAAAGCTGATAACAGAACAATGACCGGCTGGCTCAAGCTTGCAGCCACCATCTTCACCTACTGTTGAACCCAAGCATCCTTAAACTTGAATTCAGGGTGCAAATTATTTGAGATATTCTCTCATACTATACAAGAAGGTGTTTGTGCCCTGATACTCATTTGGCTCTACACAACATATATTTTTTTTATTTACTTTATTCTGTAGTCACTTATAGTCATTGTACTGGCGAATATATTGCACTCATTGTCTTATATAGGACAAATTTGTGCATGAGGGTGGTAATGAGTGAGCGGGTAGTGGGAGCCTTTGTTCTCATCTTCTGTTTCCTCTGGGTAACTTTCGTCCGTTGCTTTCAGTCCAGCGACTCTTTTGCCACTGATTTTGCCTCCTGGAACATACTAAATAGAGTTTAGCTGATAGAAGATGAAGATTTGTGTGTAACTCCTGTTTTCCTGGAGAAATTTTGGTTAATTTAGATAATGTGGGCTTGGTAATTAGGTTGCTTCTGCTCAGTGCCTCTCTACCAGTCACCTCCACTGAAATCTGGCCAGTATTCACATTTGACCTTTAATTATATAATCTCCTGCTGACGTGTTGGCTCTGGTTTATGTCTGAGATGACGGGTGGAACCTGTGTCTGATTTTAGGACAACACAATAGCGGCGTTGAAGTCCACTGTGTTTTCTTCTCTTTTCAAAAGGCTGATAATCTGTTTCTGGTTTTGGTTGTTGTGCCTATGGTAGGTTGAGGGCCTCCATTTTTGTCCTGCAGAACGAACACACATGGAAGTTAAGAGCTGCAGCCGTTTATGGTTTTACTCAACGCTGCACTGATGTAACTCTCCAAGTCGCAGCTACTTAAAGCTGAAAGGATACCTAGGCTCTACGTGTGGACGTTGCGCGCCTAAAATGCTGAGTGCTTCAGTCTGAACGAGTGATATCCCGGTGTCAGTGAGAGTAGGTGTGTTGCCGTTCGTGGCTGAATTCTCACCAATTGTTGCGGAAGCTCTAGTGACCTTGCAGGGGTTAGGTGCCTGTCTTGGTGGGTGTTTGCACGCACGCTAGTGGTTCTGGTCCCACTCTTTTGAGCCTGATAACCCTTGGATAACTTCTGACCTTCCTCATGCGTCTAGATCTGTAAAGAACCACCAGGGTAGGTAGTGATAGACATTATCCCAGCCCAGTAGCAGATAGGACTTATCGCCATTGTTCAACAGGATCCTGCTGCTGAGTGGTGATCCCGTTCCCTTCCTCCATTTCCTCCCGCACCTTGATTTCCCAGACCCTATAGATAGTGTGCTAAGTGTCAGGGTAATGTCGTTTCCATCTCCAGCGCACTCAGCAAAATGTTTTACACCATTATCTCTCCGGTCTCACAGATAGCATATCTGTCCGCCATGGTGGCCCAGAGTTTTGTGGGTTTTGCCCGTTCCTCAAGGGGACCCCAAATGGTTTCAGCATTTCCAGGGTGACGGCTTTCAGAAACAGAACAAATGTGGGGTGTGGAGGTGGAGGTGCCTAGTCAGCTTTTGTTAATCTGCAAAATTCATCAGCTTCTGTTCCTTTTAGTGGCATTTTTTAGTGTAATATCTTTTCCTCCCCTGGTGCCTAGTAGGCATCTATATGTAAATATATCGAAATATAGAAAATATAAAGTGTCTTGCATATAATCTTTCTAATTCATTTTTGCCGAGAAAGTTAGCCACTGTCTACAATCTCCCTTAAGTCCAGCTAGAGTCAGTGGTTTGACTCACTAAAGTGTGTTGACCTACTGATCACCTTGAAGGTGTCTGAATTCATTTACGGGATCTGGGAAGCGCATCCACCTGTTCCTCTGTGTTTTGCACACGTCTGATTCATGTCTATGCCAGCAGCCGTCAACCAAAGCCCTACACCAGCTTACATCTGTGGAGCACATTCACCTACTTTCCTGCACAGCAGACCTGGACCATCTGGCATCTAGCAGACTGGACGTTCATCCAGACTCTGGAAACGAGCCCGTCTAGGGAAGAGCGCAGGTCCGTCGTAAGCTCACGTGGCAGTGATCTCTGCAGAATATCGCGTGGGGCTTAGCTGCAGGTGCCGCGGAGGTCACCTAACACGTGTGTACATCATCCCAGCTCGTCATGTGTGTGAGCGACCTTGCCGAGAGCTTCTCTAGTGCGTTTATTGTCTACTTAAGAAGAATAGTGGGAACATTCTGTTGTGTTTTGATTGCTTAGACGATTAAAAAATTATTTAAAACCAGAAGCCTTGTGTTGTTTCGGAAAATTTTGTTACCAACGTCTCGCCTTGGAGTGATGTCATCACCCAAACTATTATACTGCAGTAATCCAGCTAGCACAATGACCCACCCCACAAGGGCAGAGATGGCTTATCACTCTCTGCCAGGAAGACTGTAGTGAATGCCTGCCTATTGACACACCTGTTGGCAGAAACTCACAAGTCTCCGGGACATGGTAGCCCTTCTTTTCGAGTTCCAGGTCACACTCATTTGTTTGCGGCTTTTTTTTTTTTTTAAATTAAGTTTCTCTGCTCGGCTTAAAGGAGATTTCCTAGCAGTTATCATCATTGTTATCGGCGTCTCCGCAGTAGTTCACATAAAAAGCGATGCCAGAGGCGACCTGCCAGGGAATGTAGAAAACAATGCAGCATCTCAGGGGCCATCCAGAGGTGAGCGCTGGAAAGGAACGCCGTAGTCATCCGAGATCACGCTGCTGCTGAGTTCAGGGCCAGGGCTGGGGAGCGTGGGGGGGGGGAGTGGGGGCATGACGGGAAGGGGTCCTCCAGAGACTTGGAGTGAGAGAGGGAGAGGAGGGAACTGGCCAGCTACTGAAAGTGGGAGAACAACAGGCAGAAGGTCTGGTTACTCGTGACAGCTCCAGGCTCCGTGCTTTGGTCGCGCACCACTTTCCCTCTGCGAGGGTCCTCAGCTGTTTTCCGCATTGCTGACGGGACCCGCGACTAGGGAATCCACTTTCCCTGCAAATAGCATGAATTGACACTGGGCAAAATAGGTGACGATGGCTTGATGCAGGGTTGCCTCCTGTGAGCGTGGCCTATAGGGACACCTGTTGAACTACAATTCAGCGACCCCTGTATTGTAGGCTAGCACCCCTGCACCTGTGCTTCTGGCTGGGATAAACAATGCTGTATAAAAGGGGCGCAGATGGAAAGGTCCGCAGCCCTACGTCCCTCCCTGGCTCTTTCTCTCCACGGGCTGTAACTCCCCAAGCATTCCCAACAAATAAACTCGACAGTCTGAAAAATCATTAGCTGCACTAAACTACGCACCAGTCACAGAAAAAAAAGAGCACTATCTACAAGAGGTTTCCCCCTTCCCTTTTTCTGGAAGAATAACAGGAAGTAATAATGCCCTGCCCACCCCCTCCCCCTTGCCCCCCCCCCTCCCCATCTATGCTGCTGTGTTTGTTCAGTATGAGGACCCGATAACAGCAGGGTCAGCGCGAGGTGAGGCGGCGAGAGCGAGACGCAGTGAAAGTTCAGCCGGAGGTGAAGGCGGGGCTGCGGGGGGGGTGAAGCGGGGGTCAGGGCACGGGCGGTGCAGGCCTGCTGGCTCCAGCGCTGCTCGCCGCAGGTTCCCAGCCATGCCTGCTTACCTGCGCCCCGCACAGCATCCCTGTATGTGACACTTCCCCCAGGAGGCCTGCTATTGTAGCTCTGCCCCCCCGTACCGCCCCCACTGCTTTTGCTCTGATACCCCTGCACTTGTCCCTGATGACTCCGACGTGTCTGTTGCTGGTTCTCACCCCCCATCATGCCCCTTCGGTGCGATACTCATTTCCTTGGTAAATCTGTGCACCTGCAGAGCCTGCTGTCTGATTTTTCCCAGGGTGCACGGCAGCTCCGGTAAAGCCTGATGGAGATGGACTGGGGCACAGCAGCCCAGTGCCGTGCCTGTAACAGCCTTACCGGAGTATCAGATGCCCCTGCTCTCCCTGGGCACATTGCATCTTCAGACTAGCAGGATCCTTCCACGATATATAACTAATATCCTTTATTGGGTCTTGCGGCTTCTTGTGACTGTGAATCAGACGAGGGTTTTGGCACGAACCGAATCCATCCTGAATTCTGACCATGTGCGCTTGTCACTTATGAACTGGTGCCAGATTCTCATCGCCCTCCTCTCTCTCGTTCTCTCCTATCGCAGCTGCTAGACCTCTTCACCCAGTGGGACTGGTCCACCTACCTGGCTGACTACGGCCGGCCCACCTGCAAGTACCTGCGGGTGAACCCACACACTGCTCTGGCGCTGTTGGAGAAGTAAGTGTGCAGTGGCCCTTGCGGTTCCCCCATTACCCGTCTGCGGGGGAGTAAGTCACAGACAGCCGAGCTGCTTCAGTACCCCACAAACATACTCATACACTTCCTTTAATTCCTGCACTCTGCACACATGCATAACTTTTTCCCACACTTCATTCAGAATGTGTGTGCGGGGGGGCATTTACCAGCAAACGCACTGCATTTTTGCATAAATTCACATTAAGTGACTGCTGTTCTTTCTCTCTGCTGAACTCTGTGTTGTCTGAAGGGTTTCCCGAGCGTGAGTATCTGCCTGGGCTCTGAGCACAGACTTGGCTTTCCTTGTCATCCAAATCTTCAGTTTCTTTTATCTCCTGCTTTTATTGTAGCTGTGTGGTGGTTAGGCGCCGTAGGCCTCTTTCTGTGGGGGTCCCTCTCTTCGATGCATGCGTGTGCGTCTGTACATGCATGTGCATGTTGAGCTGGAGTGCAGAGTCTGTGACCTAGTCTAGTGCTTGAATGTTTAAACAGGTTCTGTGTGTGTTGGTGCTTTTTGCTGTTTTATCGCTGATACAGATGAACCTCTCTCTGGAGATAAGAGATTTTCTCTGCTCAAGAGCAGCAGAGGATACGCTGCTTTAACTCGACTTAACCTGAGATTCCCGAATCTCAAAATCATGGAAAAACTATGCAAATCCTGCATTGTTTGGCCCATGCATTGTTTGGCCCATGTAAAACATAAATCTTTCTACACCATTGCAGTATGAGTGATATATATATCTGTTGACTGATAATGAACAAAAAAACGATCTGGATAATGCTCTTAATACTTAGTTTTAGATGTTTCTGACGGCTCTTAAACTTAGAAGATAAAATGAGGAATGGGGTTATTGTTGAATGTTCTGTTTTTGACCTTTGTGCTGCACAATGTGTTTTGAGGGCCCCTGTCTTCCAAATGAGCACATGGTGCTTGTGCTTCACTACCTTGGGGGGCTGCCTTCCCATGCCTGGCTGGCTGCCTGACACTCACTTCCTGTAGGGCTGTCACGCAGACTAGCGTAGCCTATCACGCCGTCCTGGTCTCTCTATGCAACATGCCAAAAAAAAGCACGCAGTCCCAGGACGATGGTTATCGGCATGGAGATAAGAGCAGAGCTGATAAGGAGACCATATCTTTGCTTGTGTAGCAAGAGGAGCTCGCTAATGACGACCATGGCTGCAGAGACTATGGTAGTGAAGTTGATAACAAGAGGAAGTTCTTGGGTCGGCTGTTTGATGCAGGACAGTCGACTGGCTTTTTTGTGTCACTCCAAACGGTTTGTCCATCTCATATTAAAATGCTTTATTTTATCGCCAACAAAGCACCAGTGTTCCGCTAGGACTCTATGTTTTGCTACCTGCTGCTGAAACGAATACGGTTGAGAGTAATCTGAGATGGAACCACTAGGTTACGCTATAGACATGAGTCGCATCGCACCCCCAGCCCGACCGGGCCCAACTCCTCCGATCCGCCCGGCACTGAGGGGTTAGGAGCACAGCTGAGCAGAACCGCAGCTGGACTCGCAGCTCCTATGGTGTGATCCGGCCCTCTCTGCTCCTGTGGCGCCAGTTCCCGGCCCCCTGCTCCTCCTCTCCGGCCTGTTATTACCGGGCCTTTATCCCGGCGCAGTCCGCTGTGACAGACTTGGCGCTTGTCTGCGACCCATGTGACTCCCTCCCCCCCCGCTATGGTGAGAGCATTTCGGCTCCCACATTTCGGTCATGGGAGAGAGACGGAAGGGCTTTGGAGTGTTGGGGGGGGGCTGGGGGGGGGTAGTTGTCCACAAACTGGCAAAAAGCCGCAACAGACCTCCCCAGAGCTGGAAACACCCATTAACTTACTGTCACCAAAGTCCCCCAGTCACTCTGGTGTCTGCTCATCTGTGTTTGGTTCCAGATTGGACCACTATCAATACTTACAGGTTAACTCATCCAGGACTAATGGGACTGAGCTTAATTCTGTCTAGAGGGCATTCAGCTTCAGCCTAATTTCCATCCATCATCCTTAGTGGAAGGACCCAACTAATTGGTTTGCTAATATATGTGCCGAAAGACCTCATTCTTTCATAAAATGATTTGGAACATTTTGTACTTTTTTGGTAAAAAAAAAGTCTGATTTTGGTCGCTTGATTTATTATGATATCAAGGAGCAGACATGGGCACGTAATTGTCCGTGCAGAAATATTTGTGGGACTTGCTTGCCTGTAGCAACCAGAGAGGGTGGGTGAAAAGATCCAGAACTAGCTTGTAAAGGAATTTACAAATGGGATTGGTTAGATGATCGCTGTAGGTTGTGGTCTTAGCCAACCGTATGTCAGGTGTATTGGTGTCTAAGGCAGTGGGCGCCAACCATTTTTACTGCAAGAGATGCTTTTGGAAAGACAGTAATCTGGGGAGCTAGATTTTGCTGTCCAGGGTGGGGTGGGGAGGTAGGTGACTGTTGCAATGACCTGTCTTGAAGATTGGCCTGTCAATTTGCAATGGACTGGTTGGCGACTGTTACTCTAAGGTGTTATGTAGATACAATGCACCAAAGCATAGATCCCCAGTCCTGGTTGGATACTACATGTCCTGTAGCAGTCACAACACTTGCCTTTATCACCATTGGTGGCCCCGTTGTCATCTGTGGACCTTGGATATACCCTCCTGCATCAGAGCTTCTGTTCATTGCATGACATTATGGCTTGAAATGTGAGATTTTTGAAGCGTGGCCTTGTTAGGGTATCGGTTTATAATCTTTTTCCATATGAATCAATTGGTGTTGGCCGCGGTTTTCCTCAGTGCGTTGAAGTAACACCAGGTCTTCCTCCACCCCACTGCAGGATGAAGGACACGAGTCGGAAAAACAACGTCTTCGCACAGTTTCGCAAGAACGAACGTGACAAGCAGAAGCTCATCGACACTGTGATCAAGCAACTGCGCAACTTGATCTCTGCTCAGCAGTCCTGAGACTTGCACTGTATTTGGCATCGCATCTCCATGCTCCGCATAGTCACACCCCCTCCATTTTGTTTACCAGTTGCCTGTCAGGCTGTGCCAGTGAAGCTAAGGATGCTCACTAAACTGAACCTTTTATATTTGAGGGTGGTGCACTTGTAGCCTAGTCCAAGCCCTCGTAGGCCACAAGGGGGACAGTGCTGGATCTATATTCATGTAATTTGTGCTTTGATACTCAGACTCCCCCTTTCTCTCATTATCCAGCTGCACCCTATTGCACAGAGGAGGCTTCCTTTCTTAAATGTTCCGCGTTTGGCCTTTTGAATGGCTTGCATGGTCTGGTTGTGTTTCTCAAATCCAGCAGTCGCACTCCTTGTCTAACCGATAAAGAAAGCAGCCAGAAACACTAAGTGTTCTCAAGGGTGGCAAATATTGGGTTCTCCGTCATTTGATAAATTCACTGCTTAATGGGATTACTCTGTTTTTTAACCCTATTTTAATACCTGATGTACTATGTTTTTTTTTTTTTTATTCCTTTTGCACAACCAAGGGTGACCTGAGTAACTGGAACACAGGTTAGATTTTACTCGTCTCATTTCCACAAGATACCTGTAAAATGTTGGATCTGACACCTTTTCTGTAGCTCCTCTGATGAAAGTACGCCTGGTAATGTGTCTCCCTCTCCTTCTGACCATCTTTTGGAACTTCTGGGTCTCTTTGCAGAGAGAGTGATTCCGTACAGGTACCATGATGCTGTGAAGTACTCCTACTGTTTGTCTGCAGACTGCTATACCTGGAGCTTATCATCGTTGTCATGGGTCTGCGACTGGACTCTTCAGTTTCTGTCTGGCTTGACTCCCGATTAAGAGTTGAGTTGGGGGTTTATTGGCCAACAGGCTCCTCCATAACATGTAGACTGTACTCTCGTGTTCTGTATAGAGATAGAGGACCTGTAGTGTACCTGAATTTCTAGCTACCTTGTTAGAGCCCTGGGCAAAATTATACTTTGGTCCCACTTCTGCCATGTTCTTGTCTGCCAATAGAGGCCTTGTCAGAGATACCTGTGGCTCAACACTGCTGTTTAGTCTTCCACGCTGACTGGCATCAGCATTAATGTCTTGGAAACAGTGTTCATCGATTGGATTTTTCCCCTGTCTAGTCATATTGGCTTGGGGTGGAGTTGTTTGGGGTTTTACCCCCTCTTATACATGCAAAATGTACAAGAAGAGGTGCTGTTTTATTTTGTGGGGTTCTCAGTGCCATTAGCATTCTGCTATAAAGGGATCATTATTGGTGAAGGAATAATTTAAAGCTGCTTTGCCAACAAAAATGGGAAAACACTCTGTGCAGTTTTACTGGGATATTTCTAGACATTGGGAGAATTGGTTGTCATGTTGTTTTATTTTTCCCTCCATTTTTTTTTTAGACTTGCACAGTTGTGCGGTGTTGTGTGTGAGAGAGAATCTATGTGAACGGAGCGTGTGTTTGAGCCTGCCTATGCCTTGGGCTTTTTGTTTAGTGGTGTGGACATCCATCAGTAGATCTCACCTTGGATCAATGACCACACCAGTCTAGACACTGGGTCTGCAAGAACTGTCGGCTTCTGGCCAGAGGATGACCCTGGAGATCATTCCACGTTGTTCACAAGAGACCGGGTGAGCACCAGAACCCTAAAGTGCATGCTGTCAGGGTTGACTTGGAACCAGAATCAGAGTGAATGAGTTATTGGTGTCTTCACTGATTCTCACTGTACAGTTTGTATTTGATAAAACCACTAATGTTGCCAAGGGTGATGTAGTACTAATAAAGCTAATGCAAATATGAACAAATAAAGGAACAAATGAGAATTGTCCATTTTTGTGTCTCCTATAATATCTGCGATAGGGGTGCATTGACTTTTGTTCAACCTCACATTCTGGTGGTATTGCTTATCTCCATATCCAATGGTTGTGGGATATTGGAGAGATTAGTGCTGAAATAATACTGAGGAAGAGTGTAACATACACAGGTGTGGAATGGAGAGATGTGTGAATCTCACTGCTTACAGCCTGTGTCTGTTGACCCTCACATACTATAGATTTTTATGTGAACACCGTTCAGTTAAAGGGTCATTAAGACTGATCTGTTTTGCTGTCATTGGGGAGGCAGGGCCCAGCCATACAGGATGAAGCTCAGTCCTGACAGTGTACTAATCCTCGTATATCACCACCCCCCCCCAACGCATAAAGATCTGCACTTTCACTTCAGGGTGATCTTTCCCAGCGTCTGCCTGGGTCAAATTCGGCTTCTGCTCAAACATGCGAGGAGTAGCGTTCAGAGGAGCCAAGCAGCTTCATAAAGCAAACGGAGAGGTAGCAGCTTAGCTAGCAAAACAGGGGGAGATGCTGACCTTTGCTCTCTCAGCTGCTGAGTAACCCAGCTACCGTGCGAACTCTGCACACGCGGGGGGAGTGACGGTGCAGACTGCGGTTAGCATGGTGTTGCACAGAGCTACTGTTACCAGGTAGGCTTGTAATCAGTAGGGATGTTATGACAGGGGTGGGAAAAACAATCCTCGTCGAGGATTACAGGCACAAATCCAGTTCACCCGGGGATAAGGAACACCATTCTGCCAGCCAAGTGGTGACGGACGCTTTCTCCCCTCTGCTCCTAACCTGGAAGTGGATTTGAAAAGGCTGCTGAGTGCCTCTGATGATATCTGCTGTGTGACTATCGTATTGTGCAGTCTGTCTGAATTTCTATGAACAGTGCTCTACGTCTGCATTTTTTAGAAGGCTATTTAATGCTTAAATACACAGTGCCAGTCAAAAGTTTGGACACTCCAAGGAGAGTGATAGTGTCGTGTCACGTGACCTGGCTATCTGATCTAAACACAGCAGAAATGGTTTTGTAGGAGTTTAACCGAAGAGTGAAGGAAAAGCGGCCAATCAGTGCTTAGCATATATATATGGAATCTCCTTCAGAACAGCTGGAAAAGTATCTCAGGAGGCCACCTCATGAACCTGGCATAGAGGAGACAGTAGGGTCAGACAGTCCCATGACTAATTGGGGTTAATGGCCTTGTACAAGGGCCCAGTGGTGGCATCACTTTGTCGACCATTTGAACCAGCAACCTTCTGAGTCCTAACCCTCAATGTTACTCCCCTCCCCAAAAAATGATTTTTTTTTTTTAATACTTTTTTGGTCTGTGCATAATTCCAAAATGTCATTTCATAGTTTTAACATCTTTTTTCTCTCTAAAGTGTGGAGAATAGTACAAATTAATTTTTCTGGTAGTGGGTGAGTCCAAACTTTTGACTGGTGCTGAACCTCTACATGAATCTTTCTGTAGATGTGGCCTCAGAGCCTAGTGCCCCGCCCCCAGTCCACACTGGATTGGTCTGAAGAGACTGTGACACCCCGCTCAGTCCTTGGGTCTAATCCAGTCACCCTGAGGGTCTACATTTAAAGCGCTGACAGATCTCGCATGTTTGCCTTGGTAAACTGCTCTAATCACCTATTTGCATTGGTGTATCCATGCAAGGTCAAGCAAGGGAACATATCCTCAGTTTTGTAAGAAAAATCCTGCAAACAATCGGTATCTAACGTTGTGTGCCAGTGTTCTGAGGGTCCAGGCGCATGCTGTGCATCTCTAAGTCCTACATCCTCTAGTAGATGTTGGTGAAAAATCCAGAAGTGTGAAGATTCACACCCAAACGAAAAATTTATTTGGAGAATGGCAGGCTGATGACTTTCATTCTACAAATCATTGGCAATCTTGGTTAAAGAAATGTGAAGTTTTTTTTCTTTTCTTCTTTTTGAAATCATATGTCCCACATAGAGTATCAATGAGCTTGGACCATGTCCAGACAAGAGCAGGAGACACCCTGGAGGGGATTCTAGTCCTCAATCTGGGACATAAATAGTCACTAATTCAACCTAAACTGCGTAATTGTGGATTATGTGAGGACGGCAGAGTATTCTGCGGAATCCTTGGCAGACCATGCAAACTCCTCGCAAACTGACAGCCCTAGAGGCATACAGCCAACGTACCCCCACCAAGCCACCAATCTGCTCTTCAATAAAGTTACTTCGCTGCCCTGTCATTCTTACAGGATTTTTTTTTTATGGTTTCACATACAGCTTAGACTGGAACCCAACCCTGCCCACAATCGATTCTGTCATCCCCACTTGGATTAGTGCTTATCTAAGACGAATGGATTCCAGCAAGTTTAGAGGTTAAGGGAGTTTGTAGTGTAGTTTTATGTGTCTAAATATAAACAATAAATTAGTACCTGGACACTGTTCGCTAGTTTACTGTCTGTCATTTCACAGGAATGCTTTACTCGAAGGGTGACGTATCCTCTACGGATGTCTGTAAACGGACTTGTGAGATGCTGGCAGTGCACCATGTGCTGAAGTTGGCGGCAACCTGCCAAACGTGTGTTTGCTCCACTCTGGTGTCCAGCTTGTCAACAGGAAAGCATGAACGAGTCGGGTGATATTCCAGTACCGGGAGGTACAGTGTTCTGCAGGCTTTGAAGAATTTCTCCAGGCGTAGTAATGGGAGACAACAATGCATCTTCATTTTTTTAGTTCTCTCTCCACAAAGATGAGGCCTGGTATCCCACCCCTGCGATTTCCAGATGGGCCTGAAAGTTTGAAGTGGAAATTACAATCTGCATCATATCAGTACAGAATGAAACACGGGGCTCAAATTAAGATAAGGTCTCCTAAACTATTATCAAAAATCTGCATCAGCGATGAAATTAATGTTCTTGAACGCAGCTGGTGATGATCGAAGACTTCTGTCATTTTTAAAAGCATACGTACTAAAAATACTTGCTAAATGAATACTGAGCCCCCTGCCTTCTGGACCTTGGTTTACTGCAGTCTTTAAATGGGCTGCAGATCAAGTCAAGAAAATATCAGGTTTAGTGCATGCTGGCTTATTGGCCAGAGTTCTTTTGCGAATAGAGTGCGATAGTGATCGGGACAAGACCTCGGAACAGGCCGCCAGAGTTTGATGGTTTGTTTTCTATGACCCTGGTTCACAAGGAACACAGAGAGAATAGCGTGCATTGTGGCTGAGTCTGAAGCACAAAAAGGAAGAGAAGAAGCTGCTTTAATGAGCGATGAAAAGCTCGATTGTGTCCTTACGTCCTTGTCACTTACGGAAGCAGGTAAAAATATATCAGTGAGGAACTGTCCCATCCAGAGAAATCAAATGTACTAGCCCCTGGTGAGCCACATGAAAGACCGAGAGCCATGCACCAGTGATGCCTGATGTATTTGCATGATGTCACGCCTCAGTCGATTGTAGATGACTATGTAAATGCAGCTGCTTCTGAGCAAACCTGCCTCGTTCCGTGCAGAGACACTCTTTGTGTTTCGTAATCCGAGGCGCAGATTAAAAATAGCTTGCATCGGTTCTAGCTATTTCTGCATCATCGCAAGCTACGCGGGGTGTGTGTCTGGCTGCCGGCGTGGGGCTGCTCGTCTGCAGTCAGATTCAGCGTTTCCATCCTCACAGATTTCAACATGCTGCTCGGCAGTTTTGACATTCATCATCATTTTTTGACATTCTTAAAAACTAAAAACAGCTGGACATAGAAATGGTAAGAGTGCCCAGTTATACAGAAACAAAAAGAAAGAACGAATGGTACATTTATTTAGCACTTTTCAAGAATTTCACAGAACCAATGGGGAGCCACTTCAACCGCCACCCCTGTGTAGCCCCCCCCCCCCCCCCGGATGATGCGACAGCAGCCATTCTGCAGCAGTACGCTCACCACACAGTAGCTAAGGCGGTGAAGGGGCAGGAGAGGATTCACCAGTTAGATATCGGGGATGACTAGGAGGCCAGATTTGATAGGGCCACAGTGGGCAATTTATCCGGGACATCGGGCTACTACTGCTCATTCAAAAGATGCCCAGGGATCTTTTATACGCTCAGAGTCAGGACCTCAGTTGTATGTCTTATTCAAAGGATGATGTCACTTAACTGGGGCAGTGGGATCCACACCATCAAATGGGCTTAACCTCCTGGCCACACCAAGAAGTAGTACCCAAAACCAGGCATCTGCATAGTGCTGCTTTTGGCCTATAGTTTTGTCTGAAGCAGTCTACATTTTACGCATTTGAACACATTTTACACTTGTGACACTTAATGGCACTAATGCAGGGAATTCTACCAGCAGTCTTCATGTTTGTTTGTTGTACAGCCCTGATCTGACCCCAGCAGAAACAACTGTTCCCGCCCAAAGCAGATATGTCAGGGAGTGATTTTTGCAAAAACAACCCGGCAGTCACACCACTGCACTTCTGATGTCTTTGACAATAGCAGTGTGGCAACTTTGAAAATGTCCGTCTAATCCGACATTACTGAGTGACTCACTCATAAAATACACATTCACAGGTTTTTTTTTTTTCAGTTGGAAAATGGGAGCATAAGGCTTTAAAACCCATAGTTAGAGAGTCTTTTAGTCTTGTCCATTGGTTTAACCCACTTTCTATTGATTGCCTTACACTGGATTTCTATTATGTTAAACCTATCAGTGTGCAAATGACTTGTAATGAAATCACTGCCAGTCAGATGAATGTTGTTGTTGCTGCTCGAGCGCATGTACAGGGTGCCTGGGACAAAATGACCGTGTGCTGTGGAGCAGAAATTAGGAGAAAGAAAGCAAGCAGTATGTATTGGCAGAATCTGAAAATCTATGGGGGGTCCAGTTTCTGAGGAATATGGATAGTGCTGGGAAACAAGGCTCTGGAGGATGTGGAAGGTAGGAGAAGACAGGAAGGTCGTGCTGAATAAGGGGCAGTCGGGCCTGGACAGCGCGCACACGCTCCCCGCTCTTGTAATGAAGATAA